GTCTTCTTAACCAATTTTTAGTTAGGGCCACATCTGTGTTGACCCGATTAAAATTGGAAAAAAAATTAATTCAAATTTAAATTCCCAAAACATAAATTATTCAGCTCTGGGCTTTGTGATGGTCTTCTATGTCCTTCATGACTGGCAGAGCTGAATTGACCAGGATATCAGGCACCACAGCAATCCATGGGACTGCTTGGGCACCAGGGTGCATTGAGTGGCGTCAGTGAGAGCTGCATCTGTCTCTGTTGGTGCTGTTTCTCCTGTTGGCAGAGAGGGACTCGTGATGTGTACAATGATGGTGGTGCTGTTATCTGCACGTTTTGGAGGAAGGCTTGCAGTGTCCTCAACCCCCTCTGTGCTCAAAAGAGTATCACAGAAAAACCAAATGGAGTACCAGTTGGATATTCCAAGCTGGAGATGTGTAACAAGATAATTATGGATAATTTAAATTTTTGAAAAAATGAAATATTTATTTTTCTCTTTTTAGGGATGTGTCAATATTATTTTAATCTCAAATGTAGGAGAAACTCTGAGGTATGTATCATCAACTTCTAACTATAATGTTAATTAAAATGTACCTCTAATCCAGAAGGGAGGGTGAGTGTCTTTGCATATTCCCACTTAAATCTGTGTAGTACAGTTCTCTATTAATCCTTCTAGGGCAGTTTACATTTCACTCCTTTAGTTTTTATTCACGAAAGCCAAAGATATGCATTGTATCCCACTGGGTGAAGACAGCTTTCTTTGTTCTGTGGATTTCTAGTATTCTGTTACAAATGAAAGGTCTGCTGAGGTTTGATTCATCATGTACAAGAAACATCAATTGAGCAGCTGTGAAGAGAGCTGGAAAATACTGATCTGTAAATATATCTATTTGAAAAAACAAACTCCTATTGTTTATAATTGTGAGTAAAGACCAATCTGCAACTTTATTAAGGGTAGAGTGTAATTTTAATAGTTTGGCAGAAACAGCTATGAATCTGTTGTCTTTTCTCTAAAATTGTCTTTTAAAAATATTTGATCTTGAAGGATTGAATTTCAAATTATTGAGAGAGACAAGCAGTTTGCTGAAAAAGCATATATATCCACTATGCTGACTTCTCCAGT